AGTTCTTTAAACATCGTTTAGTGCTTATTGGTCTTCAATTATATGTTATAGGTATAAGGAAAAATTTTAAATTGATCGCAACTTCAATATCCCCGAAAATAATGGTTACATTAAATTTTTGAGATAGAGAGCCACGTCTAAATCTATTCATTAATTTATATTTATTCGATTAGTTTTAGTTCAAGTTTTTATTACAACTGGGGTTTCTAAGAAGGGTTTTTATAGGAGAATCTTTTAGAGTCCTTTTAATACTATAAATATATTGACAGCATATATACAACTCATTAATTTTTTAAGTTCAAGAAACTTAGAATAAGTTATAATTATTATTATTTTTATTATAGTTTAGGTTATATTACACTTTGGAATAATGATATCCTTTATTTTAGCCGAATGTTCGAAGCTTAATAGCCTTGAATTCCAAAAATTGATTCTGAAACTAGTTAGAGCAGTAGATATGGAAAGCCATAGTATGCTGTTTCCTGTCCCTTATCGTCGGGTCAACGATATAGGTTTGTCAGCCAGTTTTCGGATGGTACTTATATAATAGAATTTAAATAAAATATACTATTCATTGTCTATATTGTCTTTTATATTGTTCTATGTAGTGCATAGAAAATATCTTGCAAAATTTTTATCGCCAAGGGTGACTTGTATAATAGATTCCATAAGAAATTTTGATACTACTGCAAATTTATTGTCAACGAATGGCCAGGAATACAAATAAGTTTGTTTAATGGCAAGTGGACCAATTTTGATACGTATTGATGCTATATAAAATTGGGAATTACCCAGATTAGACAACGCGTGTAGAGAAATAGGATTAAATTTTGATATAGCTATTAAGTAACAATCTTATTCAATAATTGCAAATGCATGACTACCCTTTCTAAAAAAATGAAATAATTTTTATATTATATATAATAAAGTAGTTATTATAATATAAATATAATAATTATACAATCATTGGTTGTAATTAGTGGTAACACAAAAATAATAATGTAATTATAGAAAATAAATTTAAACCATATTTTTCCATAACACAGAAAATACATGTTGTATGAGTAATTTTAGCTATTGTTGATGTATTTATTATATATATATATGTTTTTACTTTCAATAATAATAATATAATGTTATCAATAATACAATTTGTTTTAAAATTAATTAGTTTATCAATTAAAATTATTTTAATTCAATTAGAAAGGTCGTTTTTGAAATAAGAGCGCAAAGAAAGGTTCTCTTGTCACAGTAAGAATTACGTTGGAGAAGTTGAGATTTTTTCAATAAATCACAAATCTGAACTTTTGAAAAATTTAATATATTTATTTATTAATATATTTTATATATATTTACATATTTTCAATATTTGTTATATTTTATTTAATTAAATTATTTAAGTTTTATTTGATTGTTTTATTATTTTTTTCTTTTCAGTCTTTTGAAACCAAGTCCGATGTTTATAAAGATAAACCTCATTCATTTGTTTGAAGGAAGTGTATAAATTTATTGTTTAAATTTACATATTTACATATACATACTGAATATTAAATATAACCTTAATACAAGACCAACAGATATGAGAGATGATTCCTTGACACAAAAAAAGTTGAAAACCTATCAGAGGAACAATCGAGATCCACTTAATCTAAAAAATCCATCAACCATAAGAAACTTAGTAGCTTAAAAACTCTTTATATGCTAAAATATTGTTTTTGAAAATAATTAATGGGTATTCAGAAGTATGTATTTATTAGACCTTTGGTTAATTCTGGGTGCTTGAATATTACAGAACATTTTTCATTTACTTTCTTCTTACTATTATTTGATAAACAATTTTGGAATTAAGAAATAAATATATATTAAAATAATTATGGTATTATGGTATTATGGTGTGAAATTTTAATTAAGCGATTCCTTGAACTGACCACTCAGGTATTTCCTATATCAACAAATATTTATAATTGATAAGACAGACAACTAATTATTTAAGTTTAATATACAAATAGTATTTCAATATTTACATGTATTAAGTGTTATTATTATGTTGAGGCTAGTTGAGTCAATGCACCTGAGCACTTTAACTCTCTATTAACTGCGAGGTTTCTTCAAAACCCCTCGTTGCGCCTTGACTAAATTATTGTTTATCACTTCATCAGACTTCAGATCTGCATACCTCCCCAAGGAGCCTGTTACCATTCTGAGATTGGATAACGCGGTGTTGGTAAGTCTGTCAGATTTCGCAAATAATTTCAAGGCTCTATCCTTTATGAATTTTTTGATGGGATCAATCTTGATGTCCCTGAGGATGTCATTCGTCCTAATATGCCATGGAACTTTGAAAAGTCTTCTCAGAGCCTGGCTTTGTGCAATTTCTAGCTGGTGAATAGTAGTGTTTGAAGCCTTGCTAAACGCTATACAACCATATAGAAGTGAATTATAATTTTTATTAAATATTAAGAAGTTGAATAAAATTTCTACATCTTCAGAAGAGGACAAACCTTTCATTAATGATTTCAACAAGAATTAGAAAGGATTTTGGGCTACTATTGAAGTGGAAATAGCAGCACTTGCTTTTAGGCATATTCGAATATCAATGTATATATTTCATATATATAAAATATTAGTTATTATAATAATACATCAATAGCAACAAAATCACAATGAAATCTAAACGATTTGTTTTGTATGAGAAAGTTGATATCAGTATCTAAGCTATAAAATAAAATGTGCTCGGACTGTTCGTATTTACCTAATTCGAATATTCAATTTCGAATATTAATTATATTTTTAATTTTTATTTTTTATTTATATTTTTCATTTCAATTTTTATAAAATCAATAGTTCAAGTCATTCGAATAGTTTATACTATATGAACTATTAAATAGAAATTCGAATAATGCTTATATCAAATTATTCGAATACAGTGAACAACACTTATATATACTATTAAAGAAAAATGCTATATATAAACGTGTATATTAAAGATATATACCTTTGGTGTACAAAGTTTTAAGCAAGCATAAAGTGCGATTAGAATGATTTAAAAATAAAGAATACAAGACTAGATATGGAAGACACAGAAACATCTGTACATATACTTTTATATAGCTCTTACACAATATATGTGAAGAATTTTTCATAAACAATTGATACATGAAACAGAGTGATCAAACATCGATTTTCAAAAAATTAAGATTTTTCTGTATATATGTAACTAAAGTGAAAAAAATATTATCTTGCTTATTATATAGTTATGTATTCGTACATACCTATACATAATAAGGCCTACCTACCTAATAACTCTAACTAATCTCGCTATTGACCAATATACACCCTTTTAAAATAAATTTTAATAAAAATTTGTTCATATAATCCTAACAGTCTTAATTTTTAAAAAACTAATATAAAATTAATAATAAATAACTTAAATTCGGTTTTGTTTTTTAGGATTTTAACTTCCTAAAAATATTAGGGAAATTCCTAATGAAGGCAAAACCAAATTTTCCGAAATACGTATAAGAACGTACAAAAAAGAAAAAACAAGAACGATCGAAAAAAAGTTAAAAGACTAAAAAACAAAAGCGACTTTAAAATATTTTCGACGTAACTACTGAAGAAATTTAAAACAAAATTACACAATACATAACTAATTAACTAACTACAGTCAAACTTCCATGACTCGAGTTTCTATAATTCGAATTTTCTATAGCTCAAACTAAATAGAGTGCAACTAGGTTTAAAGAGTAAATTATAAGCAATATCAAATAAAATTCCTTAACTCCATAAGTAGAACCTTTTACAAAAAAGTACCTTAACTCCATAAATCAAACCTTTTCTTCTGGGTTTAGAGAGCAAACTTTAAAGATTATAAAAAAGTCCTTAACTCCATAAGTAGAACCCTTTCTTCTGTATTTAGAGAATAAATTAGAAACAATTACAAAAAAATTCCTTAACTTAATAAGTCAAACCTTTTCTTCTGGTTTTAGAGAGTAAATTTTAAAGAATTATAAAAAAATTCCTTAACTTCATAAGTCTCCATAAGTCAAAACTTTTTTTCTGGGTTTAGAGAATAAATTAGAAACAATTACAAAAAAATTCCTTAACTCCATAAATCAAACCTTTTCTTTTGGGTTTAGAGAACAAATTTTAAAGAATTACAAAAAAATCCTTAACTCCATAAGTAGAACATTTTCTTCTGTATTTAGAGAATAAATTAGAAACAATTACAAAAAAATTCCTTAACTCCATAAGTCAAAACTTTTTTCTGGGTTTAGAGAATAAATTAGAAACAATTACAAAAAAATTCCTTAACTCCATAAGTCGAACCTTTTCTTCTGGGTTTAGAGAGCAAATTTTAAAAGAGTTACAAAAAAATCCGTAACTCCATAAGTAGAACCTTTTCTTCTGAGCTTAAAAAGTAAATTTTAAAGAATTACAATAAAATTCCTTAACTCCATAAGTCTCTAAAAGTCGAACCCGTTCTATGCAAAATGGAACTTTGAGCCATGAAAGTTTGACTGTATATAACATATAATACAATAAATGAATAACTAACTGTTATCCGAAATAGTAGCGGCACCAATAATAGCGAATCCAAACTTTCAAAACTATTGTGAATTGTTGAAAAAGCTTTCTTGGGCTTACAAAAATAAAAACAGTATAAGTAAAAGTAAAAATTCAAAACTTGAAAAACAACAACAAAAGCAAGTAAAGTAAAGCTTTTTTGCACCATGAAAGCGAGCTTTTCGTATGTAAACAAATGCGAATATCACGAACTGAATGAACGGATCGCGCTAAATACGCTGCTAACCGGCATAACAAGCAACAGTTAAGACGAGTTCGCCAAAGTGCGTATACGGAAACTCCGAGAAGATCAGTGCTGGTCCTAACAGCAAAAATAAATATTTTGTTATTTAAGAAAGAAATAAAAATAATATTAACATAAAAATTATTTTAAATTAAAAAAATTTTCTAAGAATTTTCTTAAGTGTTTTTTATATGCTTAATAAATTTTTTTTATTAACTTATGACTGCCACTCTATTAAATAAAAATAAAGTTTTATTAAATCTGAGTCTGAATCTGAATCGGAGTCCACAATAATAACAACAACAACAACAAAATAATAACAAACCTGAAGTGAAAAGATGTGTAAAAAGTTGTGAAACCATAAAACAAGTGTTAAATTAATAAAAATATTTCATTGAACTTGAAATACAAGCTAAAATCATAATAATATTTTTCCTTTAAAATTATTATTATTTATTTAATTTTGATTTTTTTGAACGAACCGTAAATAACTGAAAATGTTGTTGAAAAATCGTAATTTGTGTTTCCTTCTCTTGTTAATTGGCGGCTTTCACTTCATCGACTTTGCGGAGACCGCAACTGAGTACAATCGTTACTTAGCACATATTTTTCGAAAATATGGCAATGGTGGCACAATGACATTTGAGGTAAATATTACAAGATTTTAAGATAATACAAATATTATTTTTAATATGAAATTCGATTTACGAATCACACACTTATAACCTTTAAACGAGTCATTCACACTTCACTGCTGCACGAAAATGTAGTTTACCAAAACTAAAAACCCAAAGAAAAATATTAGTCAAAGTTAATAATAAATAATTTAGGTTAAAGTTTGAGTTTGTTATGTTGGAAACTGAATTGATTGTTGCTAATATCTGCATTGTTTCTATTGTAGTTTGCTCTAGATTTTTACTCCGCAATTCACATGGCTCAATGACTCTATAATTACTACTTTGCCTTCCCCGAACAATCAAAAATTTAGTTAATTTATTAAATTTTTGTGAGTTTGGTGGTTTTAATTATATTTTGAATTTTGTTTTTATTTTCGTTTTAATAATTTTTATTTTTTTTTTTTTGCAAAAATTATTTGTTAACAAAAAGTGTTAAAGCCTTGAATTGTTGTTGATGAATTAATGTAATATTACTGACTTCATAGAGCTTGGGAAATTACCAATTAAATTGGGTAATCAAGAGATCATGTGAAAAAATTTTAATTTTAAATCTTAAACTCTTAACTATGAATATTTAAGTAATATATATTTTTTTTAATCTACAAGTAAAATTTTTTCTCTAATTTATTTATTTAGATGTTATGTAGCATAACATCTTTGCAAATAAATAAACAATCTGTGAGTAATCACATATGTTTATATGCTCTTCTACTGGCACTGTACGCACTAAAGATCTTTAACTAACAGTTTAAAGTTTATTAGTTCTCTACTGATTAAATTACTTAGTTTGCATTATAAATCTGTAGCTTATCTTATATTCAAAATTTTTTATTATTTTATTATATACGGAAAGAACGTGGGTAGTTAGTCCAATTATTTAAAACACTTATAATCGTTGTAATATACTACTTTTCTATTAAAGTATTAAGAAATATACGCTACACTACCTTTTTGGTGAATAATATTTACTGTGATATACAAAGTTTTTTAAAATAAATTCAAACAATATATTATTTAAATAAAAAATTTAAATTATTTTATCAATACATCAATAGCAACAAAATCACATTGAGATTTAAATATATAAGAATAGGTTTATAGTAATATCGAAGCGGAACAGTAATATGAACTAGCAGTGTTTGTATTCCAGGGATTCAAATTTTTCAAATAATTCGAATATTCGAATATCAATTGATATATTACATATTTATAAAATATTAGCTACTCTAACAATACATCAGTTGCAACAAAATTACAATCAGATCTAAATGTTATATATATTGTATCTGTTAGATGTGTTTATAAAAATATCAATGCGAAAAAGTATTATATACTAGTAGTGTTCGTATCTGAATAATTCAATTTTTTCGAATAATTCGAATATTCGAATATCAATTTATATATTAGTAGTAGTATTATTAGCTTTATTTTTACTTAATTTTAAATTCGTTGTATTACATAAAAATTAATAACAATTATATTATGTATATAAAGCTTACAGCTATGACATTTAATGTATATTTATATATGTATAAAATATTAGTCACTCTAACAATATGTTACATTAATAGTAACAAAATCACAATGAGATCTAAAACGTTTGTTATTTATGAGAAGGTTGATATCAGTATCTAAGCAATAAATAAAATACGCTCGGACTATTCGTATTTACCTTGTTTGAATATTATTTATATTTTTAATTTTTATTTTTTTTATTAATATCTTTCATTTTAATTTTTGTCCAACCAATAGTTCAAGCCCTTCGAATAATTCAAACTATATGAACTATTCAATGGAAATTCGAATTTTAGTATTCACTAAATAATGCGAATATTAAATTATTCGAATACAATGAACAGCACTTATATATGCTATTAAAGAAAAAAAGTTTTAAATAAGCATAAAGTGCTATTAAAATGATCTAAAAATGGCGGAATGCAGACAATATATGAAAGACACAGTGAAATCCATATATATTCTCTTATGTAGTTTTTACATAATATAAGTGAAGAATTTTCTATAAAGAATTAATACATGAAACTCAGTAAACAAACATCGATTTCGAAAAGATTAAGACTTTCTGTATACATTAAGACCGAAAAGTTTTCGGAAATTCTCATTTAAAATTCGCGCGCTGTATATTTTTCGATATTTTAAGTTTATGTAGTTTGGCAGCAATTAAGGACAATTACTATGCCAAAAATGAGCGCGATCTGTCAGACAGTTCGTTTACGGCAGCTGTTGAAACCAGTTCACCTCAGTAGTGCGTTGCGAAAAAAACAATGGAAAAAAATATTGAACAAAGAGTTTGCATCAAATTTTGTGTTTCGAACGAAATTTCGTGTGCAGAATCGTTGCGAATGCTACAAAAGGCTTATGGGGAATCAGTTTTATCGAAAACTCAAGTTTATGAGTGGTACAAAGCCTTTCAGGACGGTCGTACGACCGTCGAAGACATTTCGCAACGCACTACTGAGGTGAACTGGTTTCAACAGCTGCCGTAAACGAACTGTCTGACAGATCGCGCTCATTTTTGGCATAGTAATTAAGGACAGTGCTGCCAAACTACATAAACTTAAAATATCGAAAAATATACAGCGCGCGAATTTTAAATGAGAATTTCCGAAAACTTTTCAGTCTTAATGTATAGCTGAAGTGAAAGAAATATTAACTTACTTTTTACATAGTTATATATTCGTACAAACACATAATAGAGCAGGTGTGTAGCACACAATAGAAGGTAGACGTTTCAAAATTCAACTCACTGAATTCTCAAAACAAAGCATCTTCAATATTTCCCTGATTGAATTATTTAGTAAATGGTGAGATTATAAAGCCTGAAGGAAATAACTCAAAGACCTATGGTACAGAAGATATGAAGATATTTGTAAAAACTAACAAATTGTAAACAATTTGGAAAGAAATTAAAAAGAATGTTAGGAGTTGAAATTTTTCGGTAAGATACCGAAAAATTTGGACAGCAAAAGTCCATATTCAAAATATTGAACAATCAAAAAAATTCTGTAAACTTAAGAAATTATGCCAATTTTTGGGGGCTTATAAATTGCAAATATAATCTCATTTAACATCATTACGATATACATTTTGAAGCATTACATCTCATATAATGGAAGTTCATACATGAATAACATGAATGAGACATAGACAATTGCATGTATCCAACTATTGAAATAGTAAAGACTCATTGCTTAGAGAGGGTAAAGAGTTCAAAGTAAACTGCTAAAATAGAGAATGTTAGATATTTTTAAGGGCAACAAATTTTTTTGCTATCTATGCTTTAATTTGTTTTTACAAAAAGTTTCATCGCATAGTGTAATTCGATTAGCTCCGCTAGTTAAACAGAAAATTTATAGATGTAACAGGCAGACACGGTCAGACTGATTTGTCTTATATTGCTTTTTTCAAATATACACTTTATATTGTCTTTCATATAGTCTGCTCCTGACAAAACTGATAAGAGAGTCAAGTTGTCTGAGGGGTATTAAAACTAAAGCAATAAAAGTTCTAGAAACCAGTTAAGTAAATTCAGATTTTAGATATGCAATTTTTTAATATATATAGTATATAATATAATATTATATAATAATATGTAGTAGAATTTAAAATTATACAATTTGTTGTCAAGATAAAATTTTTGATATTGAAAAAATGTTTAAACCAAATCTTGAAAAATAAATTATTCAGGTTTGACAAATTTAATTTATTATTAATTCTTGTGCTAAAAATTAATCAATAAATAATTTTGATATAAACAATTTATTTGTATAAAAAATATTTATTTCTTATTTATGTTAGTAGTACACCAAATTATCGAATCGTCTTATTGAAACCTAACACATTAACTCTAGAAGATTTCCTTTTATAGAATTAAAAGAAAAATAATAAAAATTTCTAGAGATTTGCCATAAATTCTATAGTATAATAACCTTAAGGTCTTGTAAACGTTGGCTTGTAAATACATATATATGTATACATATGCATATATAGTTATGTATGTTTTTTTTCCATTTACATATGAAATAAAATTATGTTAACTGCATTTAAAAGTCAACTCAATTCAAGCTTAAGTTCAAGCTTCTGCAGATATATATGTGGATACTTATGCATATGTATGTTGCCATACCGGTTCAATATCTGGTTTCAGACTGACGTAATATTTTCCTTCAAGTAAATAAAGAATTAACACTTTTCAATAAATATTGTTAACTCTTTTATTTATTTTTGAATGCAGCAAGTTGGGTTGATAATTATTTTAAATTAATATCCGAAAGAAAAAAAATAAATTTATGCTTTATCTGTATGGATTCTTGAGAGCTTTGCAAAAAGGTCATTATACCTATGGAAAATTTTAACGTATTAAGGTTATTTTTCAATATTTCAAAAAAAAAAAAAGATGTATTAATTTCAAAATATTTCAAAAACTAAATATATTAATATTTATATTTATATAAATATATTAAGCAATAGACAAATCAAAGTAGACTTTATTTAAAAACAAATTTTTCTTAATTAATTCAATTCCTCTGACTTCTTATTCTTATTTTTATCTTCTTCAGTTTTAACAAAAGACTTATATGAATATACTTTATATATGATTTAAAATATAATATTAAATGTAAAAAAATAAATAAATGTTATTAAAAATGATAAATTTTAAAAGTTTACTAAACACTAGCACTGATCAAATATGATTTATATTTTAGCATTAAATATAGTTTAACAATTAAATTAAAGATATAGTCCAAAATAAACTGAATTTTCTAAAAATGCTTCTTTGAATGTATTTTAGTATCAATAACTCTTTTATTTGTCTAAATGTTACAAAATTTTGATAGTACCTACATCAGTCAGAGATTTCATTACAAGATGCCAATAGATGATCTGACTATAAATACCCATTTCTAAAAATATCCGCTTGGACCGCATCTAATCGCTTCATATTACTTTCC